AGTACTGGGGGAGGGGGAAGCCATACAGACGAGAGACAAAATCAGTGCAAATTATTCTGACATGGAGAAGCAAATTATAACAAAAAAACTTTCATCTCATACAAAAAGCAGTAATTGATTCAGGAGAAATGATACATTTTGAATAGAATCAGTGAATAGGCTTTTGGATTGTTTGATAATCCAATTAGTGAATCATGAAACGTTGGAAAAGAATGTAACTAACTTCTTTGCTAATTTGACATGAAATACTGTCATTGATAAAGATAAAATAACATGCAAGAGCCCAATAACAGGGCTCAGCAAAAATAAAAGCAAACTCGGAAATGCATTGGACTCTTACAACTCATATCCGAAACTCAACAGATATTTCTCCAAACTTGAAAATAATATTTAAAATATACAATAATTATGACCAGCATTGGGCATAAGGCTGTATGGGCCCCATTTGGAAGCAGGGTCTCTGCATTTGTGAGGTGCCGTCATCAGGGTGGGTCCTAACCAAACGTGCCAGTGTCCTCGTAAAGAAGAGAAACTCCAGAGGCCCGCTCACAGGGTTCAGGAAGGAACCAGAAGCTACATACTGATTTGAACATAACAAAGTTTTAACAAAGAATTGGACTGGAGTAGTGAGAGATGGGTTACAAAGATGTAATACCCTTTTGCACCTACGGGGCAGCCATCACTTTAGAGCGGAGACAGGAGGGAGTAGTCCCTGTGCTAGGGCTGAGATCCTGACCTTATTGGAGAGATCAGGGCAGGGAATCCGTCACTGAGGTTTCAGAATTTGCTAGAAATCCGCTCTCTAGAGTACCCGAGGAGGGGCTGGGGATGTGGCTCAAGCGGTAGCGCGCTCGCCTGGCATGCGTGCGGCCCTGCAACAACAGAACTTGTTGCAAGTCTTCACAGGACAGTACCTACTGGCCACAACCCGGACAGTACCACTGGCCACAACCCGCTGTGCAGCTGCTCGAGGGGCGCCCTAGTCAGCAGCTGACTGCTAGGAATAAGTGGAGCCGATGCTGCAAAGCCACGCCGTGCTCTTGGAACCGTCAGATGGGGCAGAAGCCGGGTGCCTTGCAGGAGCAGGTGCCACAGAACCCTCGGGTCCCACCGGCGCTTGGCGCTTGCAGAGTGTGCACCAGAAACGGGAAGAGAAACCCTTGCTCAGCCGGTGCTCCTCTAGCGCCCCCTACCGACAAAGCCTAACACAGCAATTGGCAAAGAAGGACTAATGACAGGGTCCAGCTGGATTGCAGGGAGCAGGCAAGGAGGCAAGAGCTGAAATGCAACAGATGAACAACTAGCTTGGAAGTGAAAGAGACTTTCCTAACTTGATGAATCCCATGCACTGGGTAGTCTTTCTTTCCTACCAGGGATTGAACCCAGGGGCGCTCAACCACTGAGCCACATCCCGACCCTATTTTGTATTTTATTCAGAGACAGGGTCTCACCGAGTTGCTTAGTGTTTCGCTTTTTTGCTGAGGCTGGCTTAGAATTTGTGATCCTCTGGCCTCAGCCTCCTGAGCTGCTGGGACTACAGGCGTGCGCCACTACGCCCGGCTAAAACTATCTTTCTAATTTTTCTGATTAAGATTATCATCATTTGAAGAGTAAATCAGAGTCCACAGTGAAAAGCTATTAAAAGTATTATATATAGGGGTTGGGGTTGTGGCTCAGCGGTGGAGTACTTGCCTAACACCTGCGAGGCCCTGAATTCGATCCTTAGCACCACATAAATAAATAAATAAAGATATTGTGTCCATCTACAACTGAAAAATAAAAAAATAAAAAGTATTATATACAATATGTGTATGTGTGTATACATTGTGTGTGTATATGTATATATATATATATATATATATATAAAACTTGAATGTCTAGCAGCATTCAATAAATGTTGCTTTTTTGGTGCTAGGGATTTTTTTTAGGACAAGAGTAAGATTATTTTATTTTTAAATTGTTTTAATTTGTTCTTTTTAAATATAGATGACAATACAGTATATTTTCACATATTATACATACATGGAGTATAACTTATTCTAATTAGGATCCTAGTCTTGTGGATGTACATGATGTGGAGTTTCACTGTGGCCTGTTCATATATGAACATACTTATGTCTGATTCATTCTATTGTCTTTCCTATTCCCATCTTCCCTATCTTCACTTCATTCCCCTTTGTCTAATCCGATGAACTTCTATTCTTGCCCCCTTCTTATGTGTTAGCATCCACATATCAGAGAGAATATATGACCTTTGGATTTTGGGGGGATTGACTTATTTCACTTACCATGCTAGTCTCTAGATCCATTCATTTTCTGGCAAAAAATCATAAAGTCATTATTTTTTATGGCTGAGTAATATTCCAATGCATTTATATACTACATTTTCTTTATCCATTCACCTGTTGAGGGCAACTAGGTTGGTTCCATAGCTTGGCTATTGTGAATTGAGCTGCTATAAACATTGATGTGGCCACATCACTGTAGTGTGCTGATTTTAAGTCCTACTGAAAGAAATGGGATAACTGGGTCAAATGGTGGTTCCACTCCAAGTTTTCTGAGGAATCTCCACACTGCTTTCCACAGTGGTTGCGTGAATCTGCAGTCCCACCTGCAATGTATGAGTGTAATTTCCCCCCACATCTTCGCCAACGTTATTATTACTTGTATTCTTGAAAGTTGCCATTCTGACTGGAGTGAGGTGGAATCTCAGTGTAGTTTTAATTTGCATTTCTCTAATTGCTAGAGATGTTGAACATTTTTTTTTTCATATGTTTGTTGAACATTTGTAGTTCTTCTGTGAAGTGCCTGTTTAGTTCCTTTACATGTTTTATTGTGTTATTTGGTTGTTTTTTTATGTTAATTTTTTGAGTTCTTTATATGTCCTGGAGACGAATGCTCTGAGGTGCAGGTGGTAGACATCTCCTCCCACTCTGAGGCTGTCTTCGTGTTCTGGATGGTTTCCTTTGCTGTGAAGCAGCTTTTTTCTCAGTACTGTCCCATTTACTCATTCCTGATTTTCCTTCTTGTGCCTTAGGAGTCTGTTGAGGAAGTCAGTTCCTCCGCCGACATGATGGAGATTGGGGGCTGCCTTTTCTTCCAGCAGGTGCAGGGTCTTTGAGTTGAGCTTTGTGCAGGGTGAGAGGGGTTGACTTTCATTCTGCTACAGATGGATTTCCAGTTTTCCCATTGGTGCTAGACATTGCATCCAGGGGTGCTTTACCATTGAGCTACATCCCAAGTTCTTTTTCTTTTTTGATTTTGAGACCAGGTCTTGAGACTGAACTTGCCATCCTCCTGCCTCAGCCTCCTGAGTTGCTGGCATTGTTAGGTGGCCTCCACTGCACCCAGCTTGTTGCACATATTGAAATATATATCCTGACTCCTCTGCTAGATTATAAGGGGTAGGTCAAGGATAGATAAAGAACTCAAAAAATTTAACATTAAAAAAACAACCACCAAGTAACACAATCAAATGTGTAAAGGAACTGAACTGTCTGTGGGGGGGGGCACAGAGACCTCCCTGAGGCAAACCCCTTCCTGGACAAGGACCCTGAAACCCAGGGAGGCAAGACCATGCTGGTGTCATGTTTGAGTCCAGGGTGGAGGGAGGGATGGACCCTCCCCCACCGGCTGACCCCAGCGGCGGCTCTGATCAGGGTCCCTCCGCTCCTCCCCATTCTTGGCTTGGGAAGGTGCGTGTTGACAGCAGATGGGGAGAGTGTCGGAGACATGTCACCACAGACTAAAGGAGGTGCTGCTTTCTCCTGGGCTGGGGCTGGGGCTCGGGGGTAGAGTGCTCGCTTAGCACACGTGGGGCACTGGGTTCCATCCTCAGCACCACATAAAAATACATGAATAAGATAAAGGTATTGTGTCCATCTACAACTAAAAAATATATTTAAAAAAGGGGGAATCTAGGGCTGGGACTGTGGCTCAGTGGTTGAGCACTCGCTTCTCACGTGCAAGGCCCTGGGTCCCACCCTCAGCACCACATAAAACAAATAAATAAGCTAACAAACAAACAAATAAAGGTATCGTGTCAAACTACAACTAATAAATAAATAAATATTTAAATATTTAAAGAGAGGGAAATCTCAGATGCACCCCCGCCCCTATTACACTGAAGCCTGACAATCAGCAGCAGGCCCAGGGTCAGGGGCCTGACAACAGGTACCCCGAGGGGGAATTAAAAGCAGGAACTTGAATGTTTTGAAAATAGTTTTCACTTAATTTAAGATTATGGCAACACTTTGTACCTCACCGACTGAGTGTGAAGATGTGCATTTCCCAGTTCCCCCAAGCCTCGTCAACCTTGGATATTATCAGACATTAAACCTATGCCAAGTTAATAGCAGGCAAATGATTTATCGTTGTTAATTGGTAGTCTCCTTCGTTCCTAGGGGGCATGAGAATCTTTTAAATGTGCACGGGTCGTTTGGGCTTTTGCGTGAATTCCTGTGATTATTAGTTACTGTTGGTTCTTCTTTTAGGAACTTCTTTAAGCTTTTTACAGAACGT